CACACTTTAATACTAACAACTCTCGTCAAACTAACCATCTTCAAAATCATCGTTGAATGGATCTTAGGGAGACGAGCATTCATTCAGTTATTTTGTGAATTGGGGTTACCTTAGGTCATTTACACTCAATGGGCATTTTGGTCATTTTATAATTCAAGGGTATTCAATAATTTTCTTGATTCAAGCATATGAATCTTTGTAGTAATTTATTTATTAGGTGGTTTTGTCCAAAGATCACCAAATCTAAATCATTTACCATCTTGAAGGTTAGAAATCAGTTATATAGGATTTTCTAAGGAAAACTAGCATTTTTCCATATACATCAGTAGTTTCTTCGGATCAATATGTCTTTTCAGAGTTATTTTTCCATTTCCATAGATGATTATTGTCCTTTATATAACATGAGGGTATTTTCATAATTTTACCCCATAAGGGTATTCTCGTAATTTTACCTAACAGAGGTATTGTCATAATTTCTCATCCGAGTACCTTTGCCACTTAACCTTTAAGGAGATAAAATAGAATTTATAGATCTTGAGGTCGATTGCTTATTATTTAATCACGGAACTTGTAAATTTAATTTCTATCGGTATCCCAATTTCTTATACGAGTCATCTGAGTCATATTCAGATACCAACTTTTTACCGTATACAGATCGAGTTTAGAAAAAAAAATTCTATACAGATGAGACCAAACATATTCATCCATGCATTTACCAATTCCAACATGTTCCATAAAGCATGCATAAGGTACTAATGTATTACCTTGATTTTTGTGCTCTATTGATCGAACATTTAAACTCCATTCGATCACTCTCGAACTTGAATCCAACGTTCAATAATTTCTCAGATACATAATAAACGAATTTACGTCATAAACTAAACTTAATCGAAAAACCAAATTGAATCCGAAGATAAAACACTGAAAATGGCTTACCAAGTGCAAATTTGGTAAAACAGACTTCGGATTCAGACTCAGGGCGTCGAAAAATATAAAATAGGGCTTTTCAGAAAATTTAACTTTTACGGTCAAAGTTAACGGTCAACGGGTCGGGTTAAAAAGACCAGGTTCAGTCTGGTCCAAACTGACTAGACCGGTTCTAGAAGGTTTCCTAGCGGTCCGAAGATGCCCATACGCACACAGAGGTGCATGGCAACGGGCTCGAGGTAATCGGTCGATTACTCTTACAGGTTCAATTAACCAATTGAAATCAATATTCAACCAAACATCAACCCAAAATTCATCGAAAATAAAATAAAAGGCCGAAACACTTACCCATATCGGTAATCGACAAAACTGATGACGTTGACGTGACCCACCTGAAACATGCCAGTGAACACGTTGGTGATGGGGGTGAGGTAAGAAGGTCATCGGATATGTCGAACCAAAGGAAAATCGAGCGACCAGGGTGGGATTTTGGGGATTTTTTTCATCACACGAAAATCCATCAATTCGCGGTGATATAAGACGTTTCACGGTAAGACAATACTCGGGCTTCAATCTTCGGTCGACGATCAGCACAATGGTTGCGGCGACAGGTTGAACGGTGGTTGGACAACAATGAATTTGGGGTGAAAAGGGGAGGGACGCAATCGACTAGGGATTTTGGTTTTAATTTAGGGATTTTTACTCGATCGATGAGGGGGTTTATTTTTAACTATCCAAAAAAATGGTAAAATTTAAGGTTAAGTCCTTGAATTTTCCACAAGTTCCAAAATTGAGTTGTAACTTTTAAAAAATTACAATTTGGTCTTCAATTTCTCCCTTATTGTGACTTTAATTCAATACTTAAAATTATTAAAATCTAGCCCCTAAATTAGGGTGTGACAGAGAATCATTTGAAAGTCGCCGGAGGAGCTTAGTCTGCGTGTCGATTTTTATTCAATTTCTTTTGCCTCAGCCATCAGCTTGCCTCACCGCCGCCATCAATAAATTCCTTGCCATCGTGCAATTGAAACCTGATCGAGACTGTCACCCCTCATCATTCTATTGTCGATCGTAGGTTTTGGTAAGGTTTCGATTGTTTTTTTATTGATTTATATTATTATGGTTGAATTTTGGGCTAGTTATGGTTTAATTTTGTTGATTTGGTGCTCTCAGAATGCTCGACAGCCGCCCGTGACCCCGTCCGCACCGTTACGCGCCTCCGCGTACGCATCTGGCTCGTCCTCCCCAGCCATGACCCTTCTAAAATCAGTCCAAGTGAACTAAACCTGTTTAAACCAGTCTGAGTCAACCTGAACCGACCGAGTCACCCAAAACCAGTCTGACCCATTGACCTAGACCCAACTTGTTGACTTTGATCTTACTATTGACATGTTCGTTGACCATTGAACTGTCTGTTGACTTTGATTTTGAACAGTTAACTGTTAACTGATTTATTTATTATGATGCCATTAATTAAGGTACTTATGGATCTCCTGACCGTTCGTCTGCTCAACCTGGTTCCTCCCGATCCGCTTGACTATGAGAGCCCGTGATTACTCGTATAGTTCTATAACCCTGTTAAATATTTAGTCTAGTATATTACTACGAGTATAACCTTGTTCTGATATAACCTAGGTTCGCGTACAATAGAAGAGCGTAGTGAAGCTGGTGCTCGATAGATCTCTCAGATTGACTCTTTTTGTAAGGTGTGTTCCTTGTGTGCCATATAATTATTTTAAATATATATTTGAAATACCATGTGCGCATGATTATTTTCTCTGATTTGAAATGAATTGTTTGCTCTGGTTTGACTACCATAATGATTTAACTGATTTAAGTATGATTCATGATTTACTATATTTTAAATCATGCTTGCTTGACACATATTTTCTTGTTACTGATAAATAAATATGTCTGAACTCTGATTTCCTATTATCACTGGTTACTGTCTGAAAAATATTTTCTTCGGCGTATTATAGGATCTCGTATGAAGTCTCTGCAGGTTCAACTTTGATCAAGCTAGTAATTCCTTATATATGTTTAGTATCGATCAAGTTGGTAATTCCTTATGGACCTAAGGCGACCCTTGGGTGGGCTCTTGGGCCAATGTGCATAGTGGTAAGACCTTATGGACCTTAGGTACTCCTTTAGGGTGGCTCCTCTGCTATGTGCATTGGGTAAGTCCTTATGGGCCTAAGGGTACATCCCTCAAGTGAACACCTACGCTTCGGCTAGGGTAAGACTTTATGGACCCAAGGTGCTCCCTTAGGTTGGCACCTACGCCTTTTGGGCCTAGGGTAAGTCCTTATGGATGTAGTTTTGGGTAACTGCATATGATGTTCGATTGGGGTGATTTTGTATTTTAAGCTAAAAACACTACTGATGTTTTCATAACTTGAAACTGAATTGATTTGAAAACTTAACTGTATGTTTTATTTATGCATTGTTGGAACACATTGACATCTCTAGCTCACTCCCCCAAACTTTTCTCTTTCAGATACTTTTTAATAAGCGACCCGGACCTGACATTTGGAGGATCGACACATTCATTCAATATCATTTTTTCGTAATGTATTTATCTTCCGAGTTGCATTTATTTTGGGTGACATGTGCCTATATTTTGAAAATATTGGTTTTACAACGTATGTTGCTTTTGATACTAATGATATATTTTCTTCGAAACTGATTGTGGAATAGTTTATTTTACTCAGTCCTTACAATGATTTTTAATTACTGAATTTGAACTTTAATATTATCAACTATATTTTTAAATATATTTATTCATAATATGGTTTTAAATAATTGAAAAATGTTTTGGAAATTTTTATTATAATCCGCTAGATCTGGTCATAAAGCATAGATCGGGTCTAGGGGGTTACATTTAGTTAATTTGTGAATTAGCCTTAGAAAGACTTAATACACTTTTTAGTGCCTAAACTATACCTTAAAATACCATTTGGTGCCTAAAGAATATTTTGCTAACAATAAGTGTCTAATGTTTTTTCGTTATACTTTTAGGTGCTTACCATTGTTTTTTTTTATTTTTTAGGTGTATACAGTTATATTTTTAGTTTTTTTAATTTAATAATAAAAATATTATTTTTAAATAAAAATAAAAGATAAACCCTCTCTCACGTCGTATCTCTCCCTCTCATCCCCTAATCGTCGATGGCGAAGGGTCACCACCGATCGAGTTTTGTTCAGAGCAGGATGAAGAACTCAACAGTGGTGGCCATGTAACGTACGAACGACTATAGTCATCGAAATCGCCAAAAAAATCAACGAGAAACCTAGAAATCCGACTACCTTTGCGGCTTTTTTTTACTACGATCGCACATTTTCACGAGGGGTGAGGGATTGAATTTTGGTCGTAGCGGAAAAACGATTCTGATGGTGTCAATGGTAACGGTCACAGACCAATGGTGGCCTATCAACGATGAAATATGTAAATTTTGGGATTTCTTATTTTTTTTAATTACAATATTAAGTTTTTTAAATAAAATAATTTTTTAAATTTTATATGCATGATAACGATCAAATTTAACGGCCGTTTCAGTCCAAACATCTAATATTGTAACATTGGATTCAGTCTAAACACCTAATATTGTAACATTGGAAATGTTAGTCACCTATTGTTAGCAAAAAAATTCTTTAGGCACCAAATCATATTTCGAGGTATAGTTTAGGTATTAAAAGTTGTCTTAAGCCTTTTAGAAAAGAAAAATAAAGTTATTGCATACTAATTATATAAATGGTAGCTAAACTTTGATGAGATGAAACTTTAGCCAATAAAGTATTATAAATTACAAAATAGTCATTAAACTTCTTAATTGGTTACAAAAAATAATCATTTAAATCTAGCATACTATTACAAAATATTCATTAAAATTATCAAAATTTATCACTATTTTATAACATAAAGTGACCACTTTGTAATAGTTCAATAAATTTAATAATCATTTTATAATTTCTAAATTTTCAATGGACAAAAATTATTTTGAAATAGTTAAGTAACCATTTGTGTACTTTATCAAATTATTATTCAAAACTCATTTTCTCGGACGTCTCTTTTTAAACTTTTTATTTTCCTATTTACAAGTCTTCCGATATTTTCAGCGACTAAGAAACAAACGGACAATAGCCCAGAACAGGAGGATCTCTCAGGTACTGTTTTTTCTCTCCAATCTTTGTTTTAGTTCCCTGTTCTCTTATGGTTTCTCCAATGATTTTTCGGATAAAAGCGATCTAGGTTGCGATTTTTATTTTATTTTAATTATTTTTGGTTTGTTTTAGGGTTTAGGTGATGGCTTCTAAGCGGATTCTGAAGGAGCTCAAGGATCTCCAGAAAGATCCTCCTACCTCTTGCAGCGCAGGTTCAATTTTATATCTTCTCTATTTCGTATATCTGTTTATTTATTTATTGTGGTTTTCTCATCATCTTTTTTTTATTTTTAGATTTGTTTAATTTGAGACTTTTTTATTAAAAAAAATATTAGAATAGTTTTTTAGATATCTGCCTTTTGTTTTTCAAATTATGATATGGTATAACTAGTATCGCTGATAACTGAATTTAAATTGTATATGGTGAATCTATTCTACTATTTGTCTTTTCATTTTGACCATGATGATTTCATTTGATTCTAATTACAATTTCATTTTTTTCAAGTTTTAGATTTACATCATTGGATTTTTATTGATGATAAATAGTTAAGACCCTTTTCTCAAATTTTTATTTCAAGTCTTAATGATTACTATTCAGGTCTATTTGTTAAGTTGTTATACAAAATTGTTCTTGTATATGTGAAGTTGTTATACAAAATTGTTCTTGTATATGTGAAGTTGTAATGCAATAATTTGCATATTGCATGTATTTACTGTAGGAACTCATCATTTCTGTTTTACATGTTCAAATTGTTTAGTGGTGCTACAACTTACAGTTTCTTAAGGCAGATGAGAGAAGGATGAGTGGTTCATTTAATTTTTAGTTATGGAAAGATTTTGATAAGGTTACTTGCAGATTGTTCATCTAACTGGTGGCTTTTACTTCTTTCTATGATTGAATTAAGGCCCTGTTGCGGAAGACATGTTTCATTGGCAAGCAACTATAATGGGTCCTCCTGACAGTCCATATGCTGGTGGAGTGTTTCTAATCACCATTCATTTCCCTCCAGACTATCCATTTAAACCACCTAAGGTACTCAATTGAATTCTTTAACCAAACTAATTCACATTCTTTCCTGTCTTGGCTATATATTTTTTTTATTTCTAGCCGCCAAGTGTTGTATCCCATATCAATTTGTTATTGGGTTTCCTATTGTAATAAGTCCCTCCACTTATTACTATATGGTTTCAATTTGGGTGCTTAACATTGTATCAGATGTCATGTTCTATTATGGTGTTCTTCCTACATAGCCCTTTGCGAGGTTGTCTATATGTTTGACCCGGTTGAGCTACACGTTAGGGGGAGTGTTATGTGATGTTATCTCAAAATTATTAAGTATTGTGTGTGGTGTGGTCAAATTTTCAAGTTGTGCCCCTCGACCTATTACCATTTGGTTTTAAGTTGGATGCCTAACGTTAACTTTCTTGAATATATAGCTGACTGTAATTGGTTGTCTTTTCCATTTGAAATCATGATTCTATGAGTCTCTCTTAAATGTCTTTAATAAAACTGCATGGCATATTCCACAACTTTATGTCAACCAGCTATTCTTCTGTTAACCATCTATGCAAGTTCTGTAGACATGGTTGTTACCCCCTCAGAAATCCAATACAGCTGTTCTTTTGATGCAGACCATGTCATGAGTATTCCTTCTTTTTCCTGATTTATATATCAATACTTGGAGTGATATGTTTATGTTGTGTAAATGTTTAAAACGTTCTTGTTATATATCTAATTCATTGTAGATATAATGATCAAGTTGTCTCTACAGGGCAAGTCACTTGTGGCAAACATTACTTGGCAATGAACTGAGTAAATGCTAACTTGATTGCCTTTTAGCCATTTTTAGCTTATTTCTGGCGCACAAATATTTTCTCTCCATAGGGCATGTATGCATGCACGTGTACCAGGTGTCTAATGATTTAGTTTATGCATGAAAGGCTTTTGTTAGGTGGCTTTGGGAGCCAAATTTTACATGATCTATTGTTACTTTTACTTTTGTATAACAATGTCAGGTAAGAGCTTTCTCCTTAACATTCATGCGGATATATTATTCTAGTTATGGCTCCTCACATTTGCTGTATACTTTTTTAAACAATTTTTTTTGGTGGTGGATGCTATGGGAATTTATTTAGAATTTTATAATATAATGATGATGCTTGTTCACTAAAGATGGAATAACATCAAATTTATTGTAACCAATTGGTAGTGGCTTCTCAATGCTAGACTTTTAATTCTTATTATGACAGGTTAAAACGTAGGGTGAAAGTTTTACATGCTTTTACAACCTTAATGGCATTATAACATACTTGTTTAGTAGCTGACTTCTGACCAACAAGTTTCTCTTGTATTTTTGTTCAACTAGCCTTTACCCCCTTCTCTTTTAACTTATTATTATTTTTCTTCCATTCAGATTGCATTCAGGACAAAAGTCTTTCATCCTAATATTAACAGCAATGGTAGCATTTGCCTTGATATTTTGAAGGAGCAGTGGAGCCCTGCCCTAACCATATCCAAGGTTGGTTCAACACTCCCAACTGCCCTCATGTTAAACTTTGTTTTGTCCGATTATATGTTACTGCATTCTATCGGCCATTCTTCATAAAGCCTTTAAAATCAAAAGTACCTTTTTAAAATGAAAGACTATCAAGCCTTGAAGATTTAGCATTTCATCAGCTGGCCCAAGTCGTTTTGCACCATGGATAGTTGTTATTTTCTATCTGGTGACCCTTGTGTAGTGTGCGCCTGTATATATGTATTATATTATATTGTTATCATGAAACTCTTGCTTGTCTTGTTTTACTCGTATTAGGATTAGGGCGTGATCTTATTTTTATTTTTGATTCTAGGTATTGCTATCAATCTGCTCACTGTTGACGGATCCTAATCCTGATGACCCATTGGTGCCGGAGATTGCCCACATGTACAAGACCGACAAGAGCAAGTATGAGACAACTGCTCGGAGCTGGACCCAGAAGTATGCTATGGGTTAATATGGTACAATGCGTGATATCACTTCTTTATTTAGTGGACTAAGCCGTGCTTGTTTGTATGGAAATTATGTTTGAAACTTGAAAAGCCCCCTACACTTTTTCAATCTACCATACTTGGATTTTCATTCCGTAAAAGTAAAAAGCCTAATCGAGCTATAATCTCTTTGATGTACATGTCGAATCCGGATCCTATTGATGCCCAAAACGACGAACATCCTGTTTTTTCAGAAGCTTTAAAGTTGACAGATTTTGACCAAGCCGGTTGCATGGCTAACCGGTATGTATGCATTTATAGGCATGCACTTGAGCTCGTTATCAATTCCCTCCATTTATGATGATCATGAAAGAATAAACAGGTGCAGTGCATTCATTTACACTTTAGATCCTTGTTAGCGTGAACAAAGTCCTTAAGTTGGGGGAAGAAAAGTTAGTGACTTTTTAATAGCGGAAAGGAACATTAAGTTTATGAGGTGGTTTTAATTAACTTATGTGATATTAGTTTAAAATATGATTGAGTCAATTTAATGTAAATATTGACAGTAACGGTATGGTTAATATCATTTAAATAATTAAATTGTTTAATAATAAAATTAAAAGATCATTGATTATATATATATTTATTGTTTTTTTAATAGTTTGGGGTAGTTATAAGGTAATATTTGTTTATATTTTTTTGGTCATTGATCACAATACACTTTATATACACAATTGTTTGAACTCAACTTTTAAAAGAGAAATACACTCTTTAACTACTAAGATCATTAGATGGATTAATGAACTCAAGTATTGAAGATAAATATACTCTTTAACCATTAAGATCATTAGATGGGTTAATGAATTCAAGTGTTCAAAGGTATATTTACCTTAGCTAAAAACTTGAATTAAAAATGGCAAAATGGCACAAAAATTGTATCTAAAAAATCTTTAAATAATTCACTCCATCGATTATTTCCGAGAGTAAGGTCTTTTCTACTATGACATATCGAAGATGTATAGTTTTCCATGCGTCTTTAGAAATCTCCAAGGTTGCAGTGCATCTTCGAGCTTATTTGATAAAGTAGCCACGATTGATATGAATCTTCACCATTGTTTAGAAGACTAATGATTTCCATGCGTCTTCAAGTTTGCTCTTGAAGACTCCATGATTTCCATGCATTTTTAACCTAAGAATTTCAAGTTTCGATGCCCTGCTATGCGTGCAAAACCAAGTTTGTATAAAAAAATATTTCAAATGCATATACTTATTTGATAAGTACCACGATTGATATGAATCTTCACCATGTTTAGAAGACTAATGATTTCCATGCGTCTTCAAGTTTGCTCTGAAGACTCCATGATTCCATGCATTTTTAACCTAAGAATTTCAAGTTTCGATGCCCTGCTATGCGTGCAAAACCAAGTTTGTATAAAAAATATTTCAATGCATATATATATATAATATATATATATATATATATATATATATATATATATATATATATATATATATGAGTTGGGGGTATTATCTTATTGAAGGATGAAAAAAATAGAGAAGATTGAAAGAGGGAGCATTCGGTAGGAGCATTTGAGAAAAAATTTAACGAAATTTTCTTTTATTATTTTGAGTAAGTATTCGAATAATTTATATATATTTTTAATATTTTACCCTATATTATTGTGTTAAATGACATTGTTGAGTTCTTTTTACATATTATAGAGTGAGTAAGAAGTTGTTTCAAGATATATATATATATATATATATGTAAATCAAGTTGTGGGAATAAGCTCTCAACTAAGTATAAAGAGATTTTATTTGAATCATTTTATGATTTATTGTTATGTTTATATCACTTTTATAATATTTTTAGTTTTTTCTTGTTTTTTTTAAACATTACTATAATTTTTTAATATTATTGATATAGTATTTGTAGTAAAAATGTAAAAACAATTAGAACATTATTATTAAAAATATTATTTCAGTCGTTTTGCCTTATTAATTATTGAAAATATTACTAAAAAATTTAATCATTATCTTGTAAGTGGGTTCAAGTCATTTGATTATGAACATCTTTAAATAATAGCGATATGTTATTAAAAAATATTTTTTTAATTTTATATACATATATATATTTCGTATGTAGAGAAAACGAGCAACAATTTCTTCATGATTCTCCATTATAGACAAATTATAGAAAATGAGGGCAGTGTAATTTTTCAGTTTGAAAGACCTATAAATATGATGTTTAAAAGGTAGGTTACATTTGTAGAAATGAAGAAGATAAAAAAAATCTGAGCTATAATTGATGGTTTGAGGTACACGTTTATGATATGTCTCAATCTAGTCATGTAACACCCCAAATTAAGGTCAGTATTTTCGAGCTAACTCGATAGTTTTAGATAGCCCATTAACCTTGTAAGAAGCCTTGACCTAAAGTTGAGTTTGTTTGGGCATAGATTGAGCCCAAATGTTAATAAAAAATAGTATTTTTGAATTAGAATTTAAGATTGGAGGACCAAGGGATTAATTATACCCTTAAGTTTTTTAAAGGCTGATTTCCCACTAATGGGTGTGAGGTTACAAGACTGAGAAATGGCTCTCTTCTCTTCTCTTTTTCTTCACCCAAACTTGTCTTCTTCCACATTCAAACTTTCCTTTATTCTTCCTTGTATCTTAAAAAAAGATAATATCTTTGTAGTCTTACAAGCCTATCACGAAAATCTTAAGGTAAGAGTTGTAATCCTATAATCCCATGTTTTCATTCAAGCTCTCAAACTCAAGTATTGGCCATGGTGGCCTAGGTGGGGATTTAGAAACCCTTGTTAATCTAGCTTGTTTTTTGTGGTTTAGAGCTTTAAGGAAACCTTCTTAGCTTCCAAAGTGAGTTAGTAACTCATTTCCCTTATTTATGTCTAGTGAAAGAAGTGGGAGAAAGCTCCAAGACCAAAGGCAAGGAGAAGTTGGTACTAGGTTGAGTTGATGACGTTTTCCAGTAGTCTAGGATCAAGGTAACATATTTCTAACTTCTCTATAACACATGTGAGTCATTAGATATGCATAGTTAGCTTGTATGAGAACATGAAGCATTGTAAAAGCATCCATGATAGATTTCAGTTTATGATGTTATTTAGCATGGAAATTGACCTTTAATGACCCCTTTAATCTTATATAAGGCTTAAATAATGTTTAAGGGTCTCAGAGGGACATGAGGAAACTTGGGTGTCATTTTTGTGCTTTAAACAAACCATTCTTGGGTTTGAGTATTGGTAGTGGATGAACAATATCAATATTGTTCTTCAAATGGCTAATAATAGGGAGTTTTGATCAGGTGGTATCGATACCCTGTTCATTGGGTATCGATATTGTCCTTGGGGGTTATTGATACCATATGGTGGGGTATCAGTACCATTGTTAAGATGCAAACACTAGAAGGTAATTTTGGTATCAATACTAATGGTGGGTACCGATATTAAGGGTTCAATATCAATGCTCTAAAAATGAGTATTGATACTATAGAGTTTCCTCAGTTCATATAATATGATTTTGGTATCGATACTCAGGATGATATTGATACCATAATAGAGAGATACCAGTACTTTAACTAAGGTTCTCGGTACCACAAAACTTTCTTAGATTCTAGAATACCAGTCAGGTATCGGTACCAAGGGTGAGTACCAATACCAAAGTGTTAGTACCGATACTAAAAGGCTCAGTATGGTACCATCGTCCCACAAACTCAACAATTTCACGCTTCATCTCTAGCAACCAATACAATTCACAGAGATCCTTGTACATCTTCGTACTACCCGGATGCACTGAAAAATAACCACTATATGCTTCCAACAAAATCTCACGCATCAAGTCCACATCATCTAGTACACACATGCAACCTTGAAAAAACAAAATACCATCATCATTCAACGAATAGCTACTCTCAGAACCATCTCAAAACAACTGAACTTTCGCAGCTAATAACCAGTCAAACAACGGCATCTCTCGACTTCGTTGCGACAAAACTGGATGAACTCGAATCTCTGCAACTAAAGCACCATCATCCGCAATGCTTGATTAAGTGAATAAAGCTTGCAACTCCCCCATCTACTTACGACTCAACGTATCAGCTACTTCATTCTCCTTCCTAGGATGATATTCTATCAAACAATCATAATCCTTTAATAACTCAACCAACATCTTTGCCTTAAATTCAATTTCATCTGAATCAAGAGATCCTTAAGACTCTTACACTTCTCACCATCCAAATAATGTCGCCAAATCTTCAATACGAACACTAATGCTACTAACTCCAAATTATGCGTCGAGTAATTACGCTCGGGAGGTCGTAGTTGCCTTGATGCATAGGCCACCACTCTACCCTCTTGCATCAACACACAACCAAGTCCAATAATGGATGCATCATTGTAAACTACAAAAACTTTCCCTGATTTTGGATATAATAACACATGAGCCTCGGTTAAAACCATCTTCAGTTTCTCAAAACTACGATGTCTTTCCTCTGTCCACTAAAACTTCATATTCTTCTGCAACAATATCATTAAAGGTGCAACAATTAAAGAAAATCTTTCAACAAATCTACGGTAATACCCAACCAATCCAAGGAAACTACGAACTATAGTAGTGATCTTTTGTGGTTTCCTCTCTACTATAGACTTACTTTTATTCAAAAAAATGCAAAATACCCTCGTCTAGAACCACATGACCCAAGAATTCCACTTTCTTAAGTTAAAACTCACACTTCAAGAACTTTGCATACAACTACTTCTCTTGCAAAACTTATAGAACAATCCTAAGGTCCGAATCATGCTCCTCTTCTGTTCGGGAATACACCAGAATGTCATCGATGAAAACTACCACAAACTGATCCAAAAGCTGATGAAAAACTTGGTTTATCAAATCCATAAAACCGGTTGGAGAGTTCTTCAAACTGAAGGGCGTCACTAGGAACTCATAATGTCCATAATACATCCTAAACATAAATGTAATCATCATTGCATCTGGTTTATAACCTTTCAACTAATAATAACCTGATTTAAGATCAATCTTTGAAAACACCTTAGCCCCTCGAAACTGATCAAACAAGTTATCAATCCTTAGTAATTGGTACCGATTTTTATCGCTAACATGTTCAATTGACGATAATCAATGCACATGCGCATTGTACCATCATTCTTAATAAAAACATCAAAGCACCCAACGACGAAATACTCGAACGAATGAACCCATGATCAAGAAATTCTTGCAATTACGTCTTCAAATCCTTCAACTCCTTAGGTGCCATGCGATAGGGAGCAATATACACCAGAGCTGAATCGATATAAGTCTCGATGCGAAACTCAATCACACGATCCAATGATAACCCTAAAATATCTTCAGGGAACACATCTAGAAAGTCCTTCATCGTAGAATATCCTAAACACACAACTCCTTACTTCTCGGATTAAGGATATACGCAAAATATGCATCACATTCTTTGTTTAACATCTTGCTTACATCTAACGCTGAAACAATGTTAGAAATGAACCCAAGCCTTTCTCCAACGACCACCAACTCAATCCCCTCGGATGTCTTCAAGATAGCACGTGACAATTCAAAATCCAAATGCACACGATGTTCTCAAAGACAATTTGTCCTCAGAATGACGTCAAAACCATGAAACGATAATTCCATAAAGTTAACTAGAAACACCTCACCTTGAATAACCAACAGACACCTCTGGTAAACTTTATCTACTAATGCACTTTCACCCAAAGCACCCGTGACCACCATACCTACTTCACTGATGCTTACAGGAATATTTAACTGATATACCAAATGGCTATGAATATATGAATGTGAAGAACTAGAATCAATCAATGCGACCAAAGGAAAAGACTCTACAGTAAAGATACATGTGATCACAACGGTAGGCGTACGATCCTGAGGCTCATGGATAGCATAAATTCTCCTAGGTCCACTACCTTCAGTTGGAGCACCAAAACCACATCCTCTGCCTCAAATCTTATTTTACTGACCACCACTAACTAAACCACCTCCACGACCTGGTGGAGCGACAACAACTCGATCCTTAATTCTTTGTGGACAATCCCAAATATGATGTCCCACAACTCCACAGAGGAAACAAGCTCCTGAACGTCACCAACACTCACCTCCATGATTCTTTCCACAAGTATCATACGAAAGATGTCTAGCATACCCAACACCTAGTGGAACAAATCTATTTGCAAGCCTTTATCGAAAATCACGACGATCACCTTTGTTATGATCAACAAAACTATTACCCCTCTTTGCTAAGCGACCCTAGAAACCCAAAGCATTAGACAGTCTATTTCCTTAAACTTTATGGTTAGGCTCACACAAGGCACTCTCCACATCTCTTGCTTGATCAACCAAATTATTAAACATATCTGAAGAACCGCTCACCAATTAAGCACGAATATCACGGTTCAACCCATCCTTAAATCTATGACACCGCTCAGCCTCAGTTGGTACAATCTCAACAACATACTCACTAAGTCTGAGAAAATCTACCTCATATTAAAAAAACTAACATCCTACCTTGAACCAAATTAAGAAATTCCTTCTTCCTAGCGTTTGTGTACTAATAACCCAGAAACTTTCTTCAGAATGACTCCTAAAAGAACACCCAAGTCACGCAATTGGCTTTAGTCCCTGTTTTAATTATTGACCACAAGTAGTGTGCATCGCCCTGAAGCAAAGACGCCACACATTCCAACTTCTCAATGTCAGAGCAACTTATTTGCTCAAGAATCTGCATGACGCTATCCAACAATTCTTCAACTACAATTGGATCTATACGACGAACTCCACTAAACGCTTTAGCTCCAAGCCATCTCAAGCGCTCCGAAGGCAACATACAATTCAGCGACTCAAGTGCGGGAACTGGGCAACATTAGGAACTACTCTCTGGAAAGCACCAATAATCGCTTCTGCTAATTGATCGATTGAAAGGTTGGGGTTTAGAGCCATATATAGAGGTCTATTGACACTATTCCCAACCGCAGTTGCATTAGCGCCAGTGGAAGGGAATTGACCATTAGGAGCTCCTAATATAGCATGCGTGACGCCATAGAGAACTATACTAGCAAAGAACTACACAAATAAAAAAACCTAAAGTTAGAAGCTCATCGGGTGATCAAAAATTAACTGTAAGTTTAAAAAACATTCGAGGCAATGTGGTTCATGATTATCTACCCCGACATACATGCACATACTCATATAACCATAGTTTTGATACCACCAAATGCAATGCCCGATACCCGACCACATAGGAAGACACAAATATCTTAGCGTATATTAGACTATGATCTTATCAGACATGCAAAAATCTCATAAACATGCGTACTTGTCATCACCCATTTTATCAGGGTGGTGACATTATTAGTGGGTTATTTTTAAATAAAGTATATAGTTATAATATGTCTTTTAAAAAATAAAAAATACTTTGTATTGTTTTAATGTGTTGGTATGCTAGTATATTAGCATAGTTTTTCATTAGTATAATGCACATTAAGTGTATAATTTATTAACATAATGTTTTGGTAAACATATTATATGATATATAATTTTATCTTACGTGATTTTTATAAATGATATTAGTATAATTTTCATGGTATAAATATAGTTTTATGTAAATAATATAGTATAGTTTTCATAAATAAAACTAGCATATAGTTTTGATTTTCATATTACATGGTTTATATTAGCGCATGGGCTTGATTTGCATATTATGCGATTTTACTTTTACATGGTTTCCTATATGAAATAAATAGTAGTGTGTCCTTTAATAAATAGCGAAATCCATTCTATATTAGCATAAACCCAATTAAAAAATAAGTCCATTTATATGTATATATATGATCCATTTACATGTATATATAATATTGTGGAATGGAGGGAAGCTTTTGATTTTTAATTTTTAAAATGGGACAAGCAATTAAGTGGGCTCAACTTTTTAGGATGGCATTTGTGGAATAAAAAGAAACAACACAAAATGGTTTCACGCGTGTTAGGCTTAGAGCCCGTTTGGATCGAATTTAATATTTTCAGCAGACATATTTGTTTCATGATGAAGGATACTCATATTTGGTTGGAGTATGATTTTTAAGTGAGGGTAATGTTATAATACCAATAGTAAATTTGTGTTTTATTCTTAGGAATGTTAATTCCACATGTATGTTAGTTTTATTTTATTCCCGGGCTAAAATACCTTCTTTTTTCAGTTTATCTCTGTGTGATATCTTCTTCTTTCCGTATTGCTCTGTTTTGAAAATCGGATTGGACCGACCGGTTTAACCGGGAACCGTTGCTTAGTCCGGTTCAATCTAAACTGGTTGAACCGCTATTAGTGAACCGGCCAGAACCGTTCGAACCGGACCGGCTGAAAACCGGAAAAAACCAGGAAAAACCAAGATTTTTGTTTTTTTTAAAAAAAATTAAACCAAACAACGTCGTTTGTTAAACGAGCCAAGTCGAACTCGAGTATTGCTGAGCTCGACTCGTACTTGAAAACTTTAAAAGTAAGCTCAACTCAACTAAAACTCACAAGCTAAAAATTATCAAGTTCAACTCAAATTCGAAATATAATATTGAAACTTGAACTCAAAAAGGCTTGAACTCAAAAAAAAATTAGAAGCTCGATTGAAGCCTAAAATTCGAGCTTGATTGAAGTGAAAGAATAGTTATATAATTATAGTTATATAATTTTGTTATGATTTTTTTAACCCCAAATTTATTTTTTAATTATAGTTATATAATTATATTTATTATTTAATATGTTTTACCTTAAATATTATATTGTAGTTAATTTGAATCATTTTGTTTCACTTGATTTTATGGTTTTTAACTTATATATGTTATGACTTGCTTTGAATATGACTTGTGATATAAAAAATTATTTTTTATTAAATATTTTTTATTTAATTTTTTAAATAATTATGATGTCGTCCGATTTTTCCGACCGATCGAACTGGTTCAACCGGTTGAACCGGTGAACTGATAGCATGACCGATCCGTTAACCGGTCCTGTTTTAAAAATCATGCCGTACTGTGAAAAATTCATCGTTTTTCCAGTGAGATTCCTTATAAGATTTCTTCTCCCCTCCCTTTCTACTCCCCGCTAGCATATATTTCTCGGTCCGAGTCACTTAAATCTGCATAGTCTTGCTAAAATTTTAATCTCAATGGATGAAACTCTCGGCCAAATTCCTACCCAGAACAGTGGTTCGGTTATGCCTGATCTGACATTTTTAATTTTAATAATGTGCTTGTTTCTTTATGCTTCCTCTGTTAAGTTTTGGTTGTTGTATTGGACTGTTTGGCTGCTTCAATGGTTTTACTGTTTGCTTTTAACCTTGATTATTCCAAAAATATTATGATTCCAGTCTTTCACTCTCCTCGTGAACGTTTCAGATTCCCTTCAGATTATGATTCCAAAATCCTTGTCTGCAGCAACCTCCCTCAACCCTTCAGATTCCCCAAGCTTCCCCAACAATGAACCAGCAGAATCCTCCGATGCAGAACTTAAAGCCTGACCAATGCCCTAACCTTCCAAACCTCCCTTCATTTTTCTCTTATTTGTTCTTCTTTCATCCTCTGATTGTGTGTATATTGTGTGCTTTTAAATAATCTTTTAATTTGATTGCCATTCCAGGTCAATGGCAGCTTCATCAGACACGTGGATAAAAGAATATAATGAAGCAGCAAAAATTGTTGATGATATCAATGGCCTGATATCTGAGAGGATTTCCTTACCTGCATCAGGACCAGAAACTCAGCGTCACTCATCGGCTATTAAAAGGAAGATTACGATTTTAAGGACTAGACTTGATGGATTGCAGTCCCTTTTGTCTAGACCTACTGGGAAGCCCTTGTAAGTTATCTTAATTGTGGAGCAAATAGGAGTGAATTGATATTGTGTTTAGTAATTTTGATCATGTCTGCTGGGATTTTCATAAGATATGTCGAATTGGAATATGTTGTAATATGAGGAATAAACTGTCCTTTTGTCAATACTTCATATTTTGGTTACAGAACAGAGAAGGAGATGAACCGTCGCAAGGATATGGCTGCAAATTTGAGATCAAAAGCAAATCAGATGGCTTCTGTATTCAATAAGTCAAATTTTGCAAACCGAGATAACTTGTTAGGGCCTGAAACAAAGGTTGATGCCATGAGTAGGACTATAGGGTTGGATAACTCTGGTCTTGTTGGTCTTCAACGACAAATCATGAAAGGCAAGTTATTTTAGTTTCAAATGGCATCCCTGCTGGATTGTATAATTGCTTTAGTTTCCTAAACTGATGAACGTGTCTTTTTCAAGCAGAGCAAGATGAGGGTCTTGAGAAGTTGGAGACAGTATTAAGTACAAGCATATTGCATTGGCGGTCAATGAAGAACTTGATCTGCATACCTCATTGTATGTTGCTCTTATTCTTTCTTTGCTTCTAATTTCTTTAAAGCAGATGCTTGGTGAAGACTGATTCACAGTCAGTAAACTTTATGTTGTGCTCCCTCTCAATGCAGGATGACCTAGACGAACATGTTGATGTTACCGATTCTCGTCTACGGGTAAAAGACTTGCTATTAATTAACATTTTAAATGCATAGCACAATATATTCCTTTTGCTTTTGAAAGGTATGATACCGAATGACTGCTGTTTAATATATTTATCCAGCCCCCTACTAGAAATAGGCATTCCTATAATGACTTTAAGCTCGAATATGTCATGTTGTGGGAAATCTCTGGTGATGAATCTTGTTAGGAGGAAGGATGAATTCATGGTCATTCAATTGTGTTTAGAATAGACAAAAAGATCTCAAGTAAACTAAGAATTAGATGACTTTTAGTTATTTAAATTATACTGTCATAGTGGATTCTAAGGATTTAGTTTTCTTTGCTAACACAGAGTGCAGAAAAACCTAATAATTTTGAACAAGCGAACCAAAGGTGGTTGTTCCTGTACGTGCATGCTATTAGTCGTTATCGGAATCGTGATTTTGGTTGTCGATATATACCTTCTGATAAAATATTTGTAATTACCAATAATTGCAAACACAACAATTTCTCCATTGTTGTATGCGGGTGTCGTGAGTGGAGTTGGTTTTCAGTTCTTACCTCCATGTTGGAAACTTATTATTTGCCTTTGTGCGCTCCCTTTTCCTTGTATGTTCTCAGAACTATGTAAATTACAAGTAATTTAAGTATTGTAGACAAATTTTAACTATTTAGCATATATTATTTCTTTTGTTGACGAATCTAAAACATTGTAGCCAGCATCAACTAGATGTTATCGGGGATTAAATTTTAACTATTTATCATATTTTTACATAAATTATATAAAATTTAATATTAATTAAAATTAAAATAATACATGGTATATTTAAATACTCAAGTAATATTTTATCAATAGATAGAATTTTTATATAAATAATTTTTATTTAAATAGTTAGAATTTCACTTGTTAAAAAATATAGAAAAAGAACAATTTGGTAAAACATACATTCCAGTAATCTTTTATTCCTTCAACCAAATAATGTAATCTTACATTCCTGTCAAACCAACTAAACACAGTAATGTAACATTCCCAGTAATCCTATTCCATGGTAATATTTTATTCCTACTGGTAATCTTACATTCCATGAACCAAACGCACCCTTAGGGTTTTGTGTTTTCCTATAATTGTTGGGATAATTATTACACATGTCATTAAGAAATAATGTATTTGAAGCGTTGGTCTTCATATTTTTTCCTTCCATTTTGGTTACTTCATGTACATTAAATGTTTCCCTGAGCTTTCGATTAATACAATTTAGTCCATAATTGAATTCATTTATTTATTTATTTATTAAATGTGTTTAATGATTATATATGGTTGCTAACTTTACAATTATTTATTTTAGTCACCGATTAAACCTTTAAATAGATCATTTAGATTTTAACTTCTTTTGTATTAATTATTAATTAGAATTAGTAATTAAAACCCTTAGATTTTTAGACATTTAGATTTAGTCACTCTTTAGAATTTGAATTTTAATAAGGTCCTTTAAATTTTAGAATTCTTTTAGTTTAGTTCTTAACTTTAATTTATAAGTTTAGAACTCCATTAATTAGATCATTAGATTAAATTTATAGATTAGATCAAAGACCTTAAGATTAGGTTCTTTAGTATTAACCACTAATTTAGAATAAATTTGATCCTTCTAAGTCTAATTACTTTTAATAGAGTTCAATTAATTTCACAAATTTTAGATTCTCATTATAAGCACATAATTGAGATTAATTATAAGCAGTTGTTTATTTTCTAATATTGAAAAGAGCGCTCCTAAAATAAATGGATTTTCAATTTTAATATTAGTAAATAAATAAATATTTTTTTTAAAAAATGGTCTCTTAAAATTAAATTAGGTCCCATTAATTAATGAATAAATATCAACTCATCATTCCTCAATAACATGATTAATTGTTTAATCCCTAATTTTTTTATGTATTTATTATTTGCTTTTTTTAAAAAAAATCTTTCAATGAAATTTTTTAAAACATTTTTAATTAAATCATAAGAAATGATTCCCTTAACACTTTCTTCGTTAATTAAAATTAAATAAATGATTTCATATTTTCCCTATTTTATTAAAAAATATAGAAAATGCCAATAATATTTCAATTAAAACATTAGAAATAATTCCCTTAATGTAACCAGGAAGTTATTTTCTTCATTAATTAGAAATAATAAAAAATATTTTTTAAGTTTTTTTTTTATTTTTCTTAGAAACCAAATAATCTTCTAATATTCTGATTAAAACACATAAGAAATTAGGACACCCAAAAATAATATTTGTTCAAAAAATTTTTCAAAAATTGTCAATCCCATTCTTATCTTTGGCCAATTTTGATCATTGTAATTCATGCGCTTCAAATAAAAGTCATCGACGACCCTTTTCTCAAAACACTTTGTTAAGCAGGAAGACAATTCAGCTTATTTACAATGATCTTTTGGGCCCTTCACTAGTTTCATCTATTGATAAAAAATTATATTACGTAATATTTGTTGATCAATTTACTAGATACACTTGGCTTTATACTCTCCAATGAAACAATGAGGTTCAATCAATTTTTTCAATGTTTAAACCTCTTGTTGAAAACTATTTTCCAAAAAAAATAATTTCATTTTACACTGATGGTGGTGGTGAGCTTGAAGGCCTAAAATAATTTCTTCAAAATAATGGCATCGAACATCTTGTTTCACCACCATACACACCTCAACAAGTAGCCTTGGTTGAATGCACTCATCGCCATATAATTAAAACAATTAAAACAATTCTCCATCAAGCATTGCTACCTTCTGCTTTTTGGTCCTTTGCATGTCACTAAGTTGTTTATCTCATAAATAGACTTCCAACAAAAGTATTAGATGATCAATCCGCATATCAAAATTTATTTTGGTGAAATACCAAATTATAAAAATATTTATACCTTTGGATGTCTTTGTTATCCCTGGTTAAAACCATATTCAAATCATAAGTTAGAACCTCGATCAACACCTTGTGTTTATTTAGGCTACTCCTATACTCATCACAGTCATCAGTGTTTTGATCCTATCACTTACAAGGTTTTTGTGTCAAGAGATGTTACTTTCTATGAAAATAGTTTTCCTTTTTCAGACATATTTTCTCATTTACAATAGGATTATATTACACCTGCACCTAAAAATTCTGTTAATTATGCTATGCCACCATGTTTTGATGAGATTCCACTAATTATTCAGGTTGCTCCTCAAAGGCAAACACGACTATTCTTCCCCATAATAATATTTAATTAAGGATATTTAATAATAATCATATTATTATATGGACTTTATTATCTTTCAGTTTGTGTTAGACACAAATATATAACTGAAAATAACAGTGACAATGTATTTATTCAATAAAATCGGTAAATAAAATGTATCCATACAATCATTATATGATTGATCTTTAGGCATACAGCTGCATCAACTTCTGCCCCGCCACAGTTCCTGTACCAACTTCATCACCTAATCAGGTACCTCTTTCCTCTAATTTTTCTTCCACTTGTCCACCTTTGCAGCACTATTATCGTCGAATTTAATAACATCGACAACTTGCACCTACTATTCATCCCTCACCCCTACAACCCTTATCACTGCCTCCACCTCGATTACTGCTTTATCCCCTATCGATACTGTCCCCTAACCAACCCATGTTCATCGACCAGTTACTCATTCACAAAACAATATTGCCGAACCAAAACCCATTTTTGATTATCTAACCCATACTACACCCGTCTCTCTTCCTTCCATGTATAAACAAGCCCCAAAAAGTGCACAATGGCGAGAAGCTATGAAACTTGAGTTTGATGCTTTAATGAACAATTATACTTGGGAACTAGTTCTATCGTATGCTTCAAAAAATATTGTAGACTGCAAATGGTTTTTCATGATAAAGACCAAACCTGATGGCACCATTGATCGATACAAAGCTCGTTTTGTCACCAAAGGGTTCACACAACGGCCCAATGTTGATTATCATTCTACTTTCAGTCCTGTAATCAAACCGATGTCTTTTCTACTCATTCTCTCTCTTTTTGTTCAACATAATTGGCCTTTGCATCAATTAGATGTCAACAATGCCTTCCTCCAAGGTCACCTTGCTGAATCTATACACATGTGACAACCTCCGGGGTATGAGCATCGTTATTATCCTTCATATGTTTGTAAACTAAACAAAGCCATTTACGGACTTAAGCATGCTCCTCATGCTTAGTACTCTAAATTTAAGAATTATCTTGTTCATACTAGTTTCTGAACATCCAACTCTGAATCATCGTTGTTTATATATAGTCGTGAAGGTAATATAATTTACATCTTAGTATATGTGGATGACCGGCAAAATTTTTGAAATAATGATATGAAATTTTTTTTTCTTGAGAGAAAGTTGTTGAAAAATTAATTGTTGAGATAGGGCGTTTGCTACAGCTGTATCCTTGGTCGCCAGGTGGTCCGAACGACTTCTGTAGGTTGCCAGGTTGTCCAAGCGACCAAGAAAGGTCGCCAAGCAATCCATGCTTTGGTGTTTGCAAAAATGAAAGCATGAATCTGGGTTCTATATTTTAGTTTTTTTAGGTTAAACTATACAAAGACCACCCAACTAGTTTTTTCCAATTCAACAACTATTTTTGAATTCTTGTCAATCAGATCACCTAACTTAATTAATCACTGGTATCGATCTATTGACGACTAATCCAGATCGACAATTAATGGAAGTGATGACATGACAGTTAATAATGAAAGTATATTGATTTGATAGTAAGATTTAATAATGATTACTAAAGTTATTTAATAATTATTAAATATTTAAATAGATTTTATTCAATTTAAATCGAATTTATAAATAGTTGAATTTATAACTAGTATGCGCTCCCTCATGCATGTTGCAATAATTTAATGTGATTTGCAACAGCCCCTCCCCTCATTCATGCAGCAATAATTGCTGCAATAATTTAACGTGATTTGCAGCAGCCCATGTTGTGTTTATTGGATTAAAAAAATTAAACTCAAGTATTTTAACTAATAATAACATGTGTTTGTTGCTAGTTGATTTCAAAGAGGCATGAACCACATGCAAATAGGAGCATGTCCCACTTGATTAACTAGAAAAATTATAGGTAATTTTTAATCATTTATCTAATATGTTAATCGATTATATCAAATCGAATTTTGGGTAATTGTATAGACACTTAGGTAATTGTATTGATTAAATATAAATAACATAAAACTATTGATTTTGCGAACCTTAAATCCTAAACCCTAAAATATTTTAGTTATTGTTGAAAACCCTAAACCCTAAATCTTAAACCTTAAACCTTAAACTCTTAATACAAGATAAGTAACCCTAAACCCTAAAATATTTTGGTTATTACTGAAAACCTTTATAAATTCATGGTATGTTGAGGGCAATGAAAGGGGTAGAGGATGGTGATATCTACCATGATGGTGGTTACAGATTTGTTTTTTGTAAGAAGAAATTGATTGGAGGGAGAATGGTTAGGGTTTAGTGTTTAGGGTT